GTCAGAGGGAGAAGCAGGCTCCCTGCCGAGCAGGGAGCCCGATGCGGGACTCGATCCCGGGACTCCAGGACCATGACCTGAGCCGAAGGCAGTTGTTTAACCAACTGAGCCACCCAGGCGCCCCATGGAATCCCATTTTAAATGAGAGAACAACTGACAGAGGAACCAGGGCTATTCAGACCTAAGTATTTAGCAAACATTAAGTGAAAGAAGGAAACCTGTCATTTCAAGGAAAACTGGCAGTACTGTGTTCCAAAAATAAAATTTAAGCCTTTGCATGAAAACTAGAATTTTGGAACTTGTATCCACTGCCAGAAGCTTGAAACTGTCACTATTATGGACATAAGTTCAGGATAAATCTTACAGGGTCTGGCATCTTCCCCTGGGGCTGTGCTGCCTCCGTTCTGGCCCATTCCCCTGAAGAATGGTAGAGTTTGGCTATATTATGAAAGGCGTAATTCTAGATATGGGTAACTAAACAGTAGGGATATACAAATCATAATTTCTACCATCATTTTATAAAAATACTCATGATATTTTGTCATTTACTTAATATGAATTTAGTGATGCTTTATTTCCCATTCATAGAAAAATGCCTTGGTAGTTTAAAAAAAATCCAAAAATAAAGCCTGGTAAAAACGATATAAACTAACAAAATTTCCATGAAAAAATGCGAAAACTTTGGTTCATTCATACTTTGTATTAATATTTAATAATAATAATTACATTAAAAATTTACTGAGTCATTATTATGTGCAAGTACTTTGCCTCCCACTTTACACAACTTTTCTTTAGTCTTCTCACTCAACTGGCACATCAAGTTGCGTTACATCCACTCTATCATGGACTTGCACAATTATGGCAGCACAGCCAGGATGTGACCCAGGCACTTTGGATTCTACGCTCTTTGCCACACCATACTGGTCACTGTTATTAATGAGGTCAGGCTGCCTCACTCGCCACAGATGAGGCAAGAGTTTCCATATGCCTCGTATACAAGTGCATACTTTTAGGAGAATTATCTAGCCATTGGCTGATAACCCCCATTTACCCAAAATTGACCATGGTAGGCCACAGGAGGCTATATTTTATTCGAGCAGGAACAGATACCCTGCCCTAGACGGGACAAGGAGATTTTCTCACTGGAACAATGGAATAAGACCTGGGGGACCCAGGGTCTACAGATTGCTCTGCTTCCTGCTAATTTTTGCAAAGCCTTATTGATCAATTCTCACTTGGAATCTGTAAGATACTTCTATGTGCTTTCACTAAATTCCTTGTCTATTTTGTAGCTATTGTTTGCTTGTTTGCTAAAGAGTCTTTAAACTAGTCAAGTTGGTTCCTGTGACTTAAAACCTAAAAAAAACTTACTTAGAACAGTTTCCCATCATAAGGCCACGGGTAAAAGAAGCTTACTGGGTACTTTAAGTACCCAGTAAGTGAGAAACCACAATTATAGCCAGCATATTGTAAAGTATCCCTTCTGTCTATACTCATCCAAACCCCAACCTACCAACTCAGGACCATGTTATGAATGGGTCAAGGATTCTTCCTCTAGAACTCAGGAGTCTATTCATAATGACTAATTAAATAGACCCATTCATCCAGGCCCTTAGTACATGTCAGGGCTTTCTCCACCCATTACAGACCAAGACTTTTTCATGATGCCTGCATCTCTTTGCTTTAATTCTCCCAACAGCCACAGGAAGGGACTTGGCAGTTTTCTGAGAGATTCTGGGCCTTCATTCTATGCTGCCTGCACACCACTCGAATTTACTTCTTGCATTTCTCAGTGACAGCTACTTACACCTTGTCTTCTCTGTCCTCCCCAGGGAATACACCTGATACATCCTGGCATAATGATATAATCCCAGAGAAAACAAAGTGCTTGCCAACCCACCACTCACCCAGGTTTCCAGTACATTTGTTATAATGGGGATGATAGCAAAGCCTAAAACAGCTCCACCATTCTAAAGGCATCCTTTCAATTGCTTGTAAATCTCTCAAATTTCTTTTCGTACTGCAATTTCTCATGTCTGGGGACCAGCCCGGAAGCAAATTGCTTTTGGAAGGTTTCACAAAGATCTATTCAGCCCTTTTAGTGAGTTATCTAAATGTGGGGAGGGGGAAGGCATTTTCAACTGTGAAGGCATGGGATGTTTTTCGTATGCTTGAGCAACTCAAAAAGGACTTTGTTTTCAAACTTGGCATGTACGAGGTCCTGGATGAAGACCAGGGCCTTTGACAAGTTTGAAGAAATGGATTTGGAAATAACAAAATAAAATGAGGGCAGTTAACCACCTCCCCCACCTTTGCCCCCTACATAGGCCATTTTCCTTAAATCAAGAATGAGTTCTCAATAAATCACTCCCTTGTATTGGCAGGTTCCCTTCTAGCAAAGGCACACACTAGTTAATCTTCCACTAATACATTTTCTTTGATCTGAGACATAGTACTTCTCTGTCCATTAACCACAGTTGTGACCATAATTATTCCTCGAATAAGTAAAACAGACCCCAGTGAAACCTGTGAAATGCTGCTGCCTGAGAAAATGATTCAACATTCCCCCAGCAAGGAGCAGCATGCCCTCCCACCTAACAAGCAGTCACTCAACCAGAGTAGGGAAACAGCAATGAACTTGGGGAGGGAAGTGGTGGCTCTGCATTCTCATTTACAAGGACTGGGAGGTGCTGCAAAGTCTCCCCTCTCCCTGAGAATCCCCCAAATGCCCAAGGCCCACCAGAGACATTCAAGACACTGGACTCTGAAACAGAGAAAAACACAACTAGAAGGACAGGAGGGAGGGAGAAGGGACAGGGCCAGCTTCATTAATCTGAGCGTGGTGGAGGCTAAAGAAAAAACGATAATCAAATCAAGCCATAAAGCCAACAGGGATTCCAATTTTAAATAAAAATTTCAATTTTTTGAAGTGGTGTGGCTCCTTTTAATGAAAAACACACACCCAAAATCATCAGTTTTGCAAAGCTATTGCCTCTGATTTCTCCAGTGGCCAGAGATGTCTGCCTCTAAGATGTTTCTGGCTATAGCTTTGGCTGTGCATCTCAGAATCAGGATTCTTTTTCCAGGATCTGAGCATGCACCAGGACAGCCTGAGACCTGTGTGTAAACTGCTGGGGGAGGTGAAGGCCCAGAGGAGACACAGGCAGAGCGGCTTACCTGACGTGCCGGGCTGACAGTTACACTGGTAGCCATTCACCAGGTCGATGCAGCGGCCGTCATGCAAGCAGGGGCTACTGTAACACTCGTCTATCTGGTCACTGCAGATGGCACCCATGTACCCCGGGTTGCAGATGCAGGTGTAGGAATCAATCCCATCCTGACACCGGCCGTGGTGGCAAGGATCAGGGTCACAGTTGTCGATGTTCTCCTCACACAACACACCAGTGAACCCTGGGAAGGAATTTTACCAAGAAGGCTTGAAACCCAGTCAGACACTCCACACCTGAACGTAGGTGTGGCCACATCCACTTATCCTACAGGCCTCATGTCTCAAACAGTTCATGCTGTAGACAATGAGCAGCTAAAGCCGACTATTTGCCTGATGTATAAGGCAAGCCTAGAGTTGTGCTTAAAATAAAGTTTTTCAAATCAAATTTGTAGAATTCAAATGACGATCAATGGTTTCACTACAGAGATACTTTAACTGCATCTTCATTCCATAGTGGGCTTCAATGGGGAACAGCCCTCAATATTTTTCCATTATATATTTACCTCTATATTCCTTTCTTCCCAAAACCAACATGCAGATACTGTATTAATGATTACGTGTACCTTATCTCCCCAATTCTGACCTTAGAGGACAGAGAACTTTTCTTTATCCCTCTCAAACCCTCCCTGAGTACTATGCTTATATACTAAGTTTTTTTTTTTTTAAAGATTTTATTTATTCATTTATTTGAGAGAGAGAGAGAGAGCACATGAGAGGGGGGAAGGTCAGAGGGAGAAGCAGACTCCCTGCCGAGCAGGGAGTCCAATGCGGGACTCGATCCCGGGACTCCAGGATCATGACCTGAGCCGAAGGCAGTCGCTTAACCAACTGAGCCACC